CCTAGAACCAGCCTCTTCCTGCCAGGCTTTACCTGCCTTTAATTTGACAGTTGTTATTGTGAAAGGTTAGAAGATTAAGATAGTTTATATCTAATGGGACTAAATTCATCATTATTTGTTTCATAATTTATAACACCTGAAAAATCCTTAAAAACTATCATTTCTATGATCACAGCAGATTAGAGAGAGAGAGCGTGCACAAATGCATGAGCAAAGTGAGGGGCAGAGGGAAAGGGAGACACGGAATCTGAAGTGGGCTCCAGGCTCTGAGCTGTCAGCACAGAGCCTGTGACAAAGTGCTACTTTAAAGAAAAAGGGTGCTAGGATTTCGTGTAAACCCCACCTGATCGGGCTGATTCAAGACGTTTGGGGAGGGAATCAGTAAGGAAGCCATCTCATGGCTCCTCTCACACAGACCTCCATATCTCAGGAAATCTGTGAGCTTGACGCCTATCTAATCCTCTTCTTTAGCTTTAGAGAATTCAAAGTCCATGGATAGTACTTTTTTTCAAGAAATCTTTGAGCTCCTGTTACAGGACAGGCTCTTTATAAGGCACTGGGTTCACCAGCCAACAAAACCAAGTGTCTGCCTGCTCCAATGGTGCTTGCTTTCTTTTTGGGGAGACAAATACATATAGGGTGCTGTGTACTAAAAAGAAAACTAGGTCCAGATAGGAGGGTAAGAGTGACAAATTGAATGGGAGTTGGGGGGGGGGGGTCGGTACTTCCTCTCAGAAAATGATCTGAGACCTAATGGAAGTAATATAGTAACCCATATGGGTATGTGAATGTATTCTGTATTCCTGTCTAACAAATTATCTTAAAAATTTAGCAGCTTAAAATGACAAATGTGTACATATCATCTCACAATACCTCAGCGTGAGGAATCAGAGCGTCGCTTAGCTGATGTTTCTGCCTAGGGTCTCATGAAGTTACAGTCCAGCTGAGACAGCCATTCTTCTCATGGCTCAATTGGGACTAAAGAATTTGTTGTCCAGCACGCTTGTGTGGTTCTTGGTGACCTAGTTCCCTGAGGGCCTCCTTTCTTTGCCTCACAGCACCTTGCTGCCCTGGTGCAAATGACGGGAGAGAGGGAGAGCATGCCGTGGTCTTTTGTCAATGCACCTCAGAAGTGACACACCATCATTATTTTCTGTCATCCACACCTTACACTACCTCTTTACTGATTGGTCTCCCTCATTGCCTAACTGCAGTCTCCCAGTCCAGCTTCTTGCCCTCTTCTCTCTCGTTTCCATGTTTGCTGTCTTCATCTTTACAACGTGTCCCCTTTTCTCTCCTACAGATTGGCTCCCGCTCTCTTCTGCACCACGAAATCTTCTCTGTCAAAGGTGACCTCTGCTGATAAAGACTCTTCTTAATTAAAAAATCTATTGTAAATTTAGTTGATTTCTCTTGCGATGATCTCCCCTCTGGATAGCAAATAGGTCATATTTTGCCTTTTACTTCTCTGACACTGCCACCCTCTCTCGGATCCAGTTTTTTGCCAACCATTTAAATGTAGGTATTTAAGAGTTTCTTCATTCTTTTTTAGCTTACTTTGTCTTCAAAGCTGACCTCTGCCAAAACTGCATTAATAATCCGTGTCCCCTCCTGACCTCCCACTGCCATATACAAACAGTGCGCGCGCACACACAAGTAGTTGTTCCAGCTATATTCTTTCATTATTTTTGGTTAATGGAATCCAGGCACCCTATAGAACTTTTCCTGCTTTTCCTCATTCTATAAATCCTAACACACATTAATTCTGTCTTTTAACTCCCTCTTGCCTCTCCCTAGTTCTCTAGTTCATGAGGTAGATCTTGATCTCTAGATCAAGCCCTTCCTGTTCTCACCTGGTGTACCGTACTTGTAGGATAACCCATAACCTGATCTCTGTTTTACTCTATTGACCTCTGTCCTTGGTGCTGTTACCAGTTGTTAGTGTAACTCCTGCTTCTCAACATCTCAGTACCTGGGGTGCCCCGCCACCATTGGTCCTCTGTCCTCAGAGCTCGGACCCCTTGCTTGGCTCACAGTGCATTTTGCCATCTGGTCTCTGTTGGTCTGCTTGGCACAACTTGTGCTCCCCTCCCCCTTACTTTTAAAGCTTCTGCAGTATGAAACTTCTGACATTGCCCCCAAAAGGCCATGCTGTTTTATGCCTTTATGCTTTTATTTCTTTTGTCTTCCTGAAATGTATTTTATTCTCCCTTTTCTCCTTTAACCCATAGTCATTCAGATCCACAGGTCCCCGTCTTTGTTTTGTGCCTTCTTTGTCCTCAACTTTGTCTCCAGACAGTGGAGTTCCTTTTCTCCCCCCACTTCCTGCCCCCTTGCATAGGCTGCCATTCTTTTATTTGATTACTTATTCTGTCTCTCTGGTTGTGTGAGCTTTGAGGGCAGGATCTCTGGCCCATTCACTCTTATGTCCCCTCAGAATTTAGCAAAATGCCTGAAATGTTATTTAGTAAATATGCATAAGTAACGTATATTCTGACTGAGTTAGTGTGGCTTCACATATGGTTTTATAGGGGAGTTAAGACTCCAGATACTCCTTATTATCCGTGCTTCAAAAACATTGTTGGGTTCCTTGGTAGAACTTAGCACTGTGTTAGGCAGGAGAAGTTGAGAAAACATTAAATGCCTGCCAACTTAAAGTATCAAATACCAAGCAATTAAAAGCTTTTCTGAAGCCAGTCTTAAGGTATTTATTTTGCACATTAAAAATATCTTGCTGTTTCCAGCTACATACACAACTACCAAATTCTTAAAAGTTATTTGTCTCAACTCCAAATAATCTCCCATAGAAAGAATGTCCCTTACAGCATCTCAGTGTTTCTATATTAGGGTGCAGTCTGGAGACAGAAGCACAGTTGAGCAGGAACAATTGAATAAAATCAGTGAGAGCTTGGTTACAATGGGTGAGGAAAACTGAAGAATTTGGGAGCATAGCACCTGGGGAAAGAACAAATCTGGAAGAGGATCCCACTCCCTGCCTCTCAAAGGCTGGGATTGGGTCCTTGTTGGAGAAGATGGGGCGTGTCCTACTGTGTGGCGGAGACGTTCACTGAAACACCACACTAATGGGACTCGGGGTTGGGGGGGGTGTGTGCCTTCTGAGGTGCTGCGCTGTAGAACTCACTGGAAATCTGCCAGTGGGGGTGGTGGACTGGGGAGAAGCTGTCCAGGGGGTGGTGCCACATGGCTCCAAGTATAAGAAGAGAACCAGAAAAAAATAGCCCTTCTTCCTCCAGTGTCCCTCCAACACCCTGTCACGTTATACTAGCTGACACAGGCAGGGTACTAGACGGTGGTACAAAAAAGCAATAAATTGTCCATTGAGCTTCTCTATGTCTCCATTGAACAATATACCAGTATCACCGGAATTAGAAAAAAAATACGTATGTATAATTTATCTTTAATTCTAGTGCCTGAGAGTTGTGCAGTTAGATGAAGATTAGAAGGGAGATGAAGACACCCTCATGTGTATCAAAGTCGTTAATGGTATTCTTGGACAAAGTACCTTGTTAAATATTTTCGTTTTCATTGATCTGCATAAAAACAAAAGCATTATTGTTACATCTGTTGCTTAAGAATCGGTTTCAGCTTAGAAACCTAGAAAATAAGAGTATTTTCTATAACTGAGCCACAGCTGGTAACAAGAGAGGAAGCATTGTCTGTGTGTCTTTTAAATGCTTGCCTAATGTAGAACTTACAGCCCCTATTTCAGTATATTAGACAACCAAAATGTTTGAGAGCCAGGAATTTTCTGGCCAGTGAACAAAGATAGGAAACCATATTTTGTGTGAATGACGGTTTTTTTTTTTAAGGAGACAAATAAACGTTGGGGAAAAGGTTTGGAGTCAGGTGACAGTCAATGGGACCAGTGAGGTCACTTAATATGGAATGTGTGTGCTGCTTACCGACATGCAGACAGACAAGATAGGAGTCTAGTCTAAATAGCGGGGTCATAACTTGGAGTACCAGTCTTCTGCGTCAGTTCTTAGGGTAAAAGTGAACGTGCATTTTTGTTTTACAAGCTTCACAGATGAAACTCATGGGACTGCACTGAATAATCCAAAAGGCTCTTTGAAAAGAATTTGTCATTATAGGAAAAGAAGGAATAAAAGCAGTCTATCTGAGTCGCAGAGGATTCTTAGGACTATTGATAAGAGAATAAGTATTTGAATCTTGACTACTATTTGCTCATATTTGGGTCTGTAAGCTAAAATAAAGGAGAGCTTTAAGGCCAAGTGTGATGTGTTGCACAGTAAAAGACCGTATTATTATCTATTTCAGAATCTCTCTCTCACTCATGTGCGCTCACTCACACTCTCTCTGGCGCACGCGCGCTTTCGCTCTCTCTCTGGTTGTCTTTATTTCTTAACCTGGTATTAGCAGACTGCTAGATGCTTCTTAGAGATTTTGCTTTTTTGTCATGCGCTCTTAACCAGACATGTGGGAGAAGTTGGTAGACTAGTGAAGTCAGGGTTGGAGAAGATGTCCCCTAACCCCCCAGTTGTGGAGCAGTTTTGTTTAATAGTTACACATGCTAGGTATTGATTTGGATACTAGACTTGCCCCACTATTCTTCAGATCCTAAAATAATTGGAACCCATTTCCCTGCTGTAAACCTAGCCTGAACTGGTAAGTACAGATAAAGAAGTTGATATCTCCAGTTACCTTATTAACTCTGAAAAGATTCAGTTGCAGATATGCCCATGACTTTCAGGTAGAGGTGCATTTGGTTCAGCTTGGCTCATATTACAGATTTTTCAGCATTCAGTACTGTTTCTTATAACACTTAGTCATTTTAGAAGATTTGGGTCCTCCATTATGTTATTAGTTACCACGTGCTAGAAAACATTTTGAATCGTTGTAGAATATTTGATGTCCTCATTCTGACTGGATTGCTAAAAGCAGGTGTTAGTGTTCTTGCCTAATTATAAATGGTTTTTTGGTTTGTTTTGTATGTGTGTATGTGTGTGTGTGTCTTCTAGGTTTTTCTGAAGAGTGATCGAGTGGCCAGGATGGTTCAGAGTGGAGGATGTTCTGCTAATGACTTCAGAGAGGTGTTTAAGAAAAACATAGAAAAACGTGTGCGGAGTCTTCCAGAAATTGATGGCTTGAGCAAAGAGACTGTGCTCAGTTCATGGATAGCCAAATATGATGCCATTTACAGAGGTGAAGAGGACTTGTGCAAACAATCCAACAGAATGGCCTTAAGTGCTGTGTCTGAACTGATTCTGAGCAAGGAACAACTCTATGAGATGTTCCAGCAGATTCTGGGTATTAAAAAACTAGAACACCAACTCCTTTATAATGCATGTCAGGTAAGTGGTCCATGTTTCCTATTCTCCCTGCCTCAGATGGAACATCAAATATAAGCCTATGAAAATACACATTTTATAATCATTTGGCTGAAAAGCTGAATGGAAATGAATTTTAGTAAATTGAGTAGTGGTGTTTGAAAGAAACTTTGAAAGACATTTGATAGAGGGAGAACCTTTCATCCTGTGACTAATTGGTCCTATGCATCCTATTTGAGGACATCAGATTTTCACCTATTGGGTATATATGGGGCAGGTCCCAAGTAAAGTGAAAATCATTTGCTATCTGAAGAAGTTGGGCAATTTTAAATAAACAAGTATTCTTGAGTGCAAAATAATTTTTTCATAAAGATATGTGGTCTTTTGAGTTTTATGGAAGTAATTGAAATTTCAAATTTTTTTCTTTAAGCCAGCCAGATAGAAATGAAGATGTTCCTGAACTGTGTAATTTAGAGAGATGACCAGATGAAAAGTATTTTTTTCTCTTCAGGTATTATTTCTAATCATACATAGGAAAAACTGAATAAAGTATCATATACCACGTTTTTCATTTTTGGACTCTATGATTTGTCTACTGCCATTTCATATGTGCATTTTGTTGGCTTTAGTGGTATACGTTATTTAACTATGCCTTAGTATACAAGTTAAATTGACAAAATTGAGCATTTTGAAATTTGTACATTCATTAAGAGTTGTCCTTCTATAATTTTCATACATTTAATTTATTTTTAATCTTTTCACAAATCAGTTCCTGTGTTCTGTGTGTATCATTTGCATTAGTAACTTGTGGATCAATTCAAATGAATAAATTGACAGTTAATGGCAAAGCAATGTAGCATCTTAACCATGTGAACAATTTGTGCATTTATCAGAATTGTTTTTCACTGTTATCAAACTGGATGGTATTTGGTAATAGTGGAGGATGACCATAAAACCAAAACCTTCTGTTTTAAAAGATCTTTGTATTTTTAATGTAACGGTAGCCCACTTGTACAGTGAAATTGATGAGCATAGCTTAATGAAATCCAGATTCACACATTTGGTAGATACTTAGTGAGTTGGGTGTTGGGGAAACCAAGCTGAGCAAAAGAAAATATTCTCCGTATCTCCATATGTTGAAGTCTCATAGAGCAAATAGACCTCTAAAACGAATTATTACAAATGCATTGGAATTTATACTAGGTGTTACAGGGTCATAAAATTTCTGTAAACCTATTTTTTATGTAATTCCATTATCATTGCATAAAATCCCTCTATTTCTGATTATTTTTTTTGAAGTCTTAACTTTATCTTAAACTAATATGGCTATTCCAGCTTTCTTTTGATTGGAGTTAGCCTGGTGTCTATCCATCTGTTTATTGCTAATCTATCTGATTCCTTAGGTTTAAAGTGGGTTTTTTGTAGACAGTATAAAATGGCCTCTTGGCTTTTCCTTTTTTAATCCAGTCAGACATTCTTTCAATGGATGTGTTTAGACTGTTCAGGTTTAAAGTGCTATAGTTGATTTTCTACCCTGTTCCTTTGATCTGCGTGTCTGTTTTTGTGCCAGTACCATACTGTCTTGACGACTACAGCTTTGTAATATAGCTTGAAATCCAGAATTGTGATACCTCCACTTCTGCTTTTCTTTTTCAGGATTGCTTTGCTATTTGATGTCTTCTGTGGTCCCATACAAATTTTAGGATTGTTTGTTCTAGCTCTGTGAAAAAAATGCTGTGGGTATTTTGATAGGGATTGCATTAAATGTGTAGATTGCTTTGGGTAGTATAGACATTTTGATAATGTTCATTCTTCCAGTTCATGAACATGGAATACTCTTCCATTTCTTTATATCCTCTTCAATTTATTTCATAAGTGTTTTATAGTTTTCAGGATACAGATCTTTTATCTCTTTAGATTTATTCCTAGTTATCCAATTGTTTTTAGTACAATTGCAAGGGGACAGTGACATTCAGAAGAGTGAAACTGGATCGCTCTTCTTACACTATGCACAAGAATAAATTGAAAATGGATGTGAAAGACCTAAATATGAGATAGGAAACGATCAAAATCCTAAAGGAGAACACAGTCAGCAACCTCTTTCATGTCAGCTGCAGCAACTTCTTGCTAGACCTGTCATTGAGGGCAAGGGAAACAAAGGCAAACATGAATTATTGGAACTTCATCAAGATAAAAAGCTTCTGCACAGTGAAGGAAACCATACACAAAACTCAAACGCAGTCTACAGAATGGGAGAAGATACTTGCAAATGACACATCTGACAGAAGGTTAGTATCCGAAATCTATAAAGAACTTATCAAATTCAAGACCCAAAAAACAACCCAATTAGATATGGACAGAAGACATGAACAAACAGACACTTTTCCAAAGAAGACATCCAGATTGCCAAAAGACGGATGAAAAGATGCTCAACATCACTCATCATCAGGGAAATACAAGTCAAACCACCTCACCCCTGTCAGAATGGCTAAAATTAACATCACGGGGGACATCAGGTGTTGGCAAGGATGTGGAGTAAGGGGAACCCTTTTGCACTGTTTGTGGGAATGAAACTGGTGCAGCCACTCTGGAGTACAGTATAGATGTTACTCAAAAAGTTTAAAAAAAAAACACAAAAAAACAAAAAAACACTTCCCTACTATCCAGCAATTGCACTGATAGGCATTTACCCAAAGGATACAAAAATAGATTTGAAGGGGTACATGCACCCCAAAATTTATAGCAGTGTTATACACAATAGCCGAGCTAAGCTATGGAGAGAGCCCAAATGTCCATTTGGAACACAGACACACTGGAACATTACTTGGCCATCAAAAAGAATGAAATCTTGGGGCACCTGGGTGGCTCAGTTGTTTGAGTGTCTGACTTCTTGGGTCATGAACTCACAGTTCGTGAGTTTGAACCCTACTGGGCTCTATGCTGACAGCTCAGAGTCTGAAGCCTGCTTCAGATTCTGTGTCTTCCTCTTTCTGCCTTCCCTCTCTCTCCCCCCCTTCCCTGTCTCTCACCCTCCCTTTTTCTCAAAAATAAACATTAAAAAAACCTTGCCATTACAGTGATATGGATGGAGCTGGAATGTATTATGCTAAGTGAAACAGGTCAGAGAAAGACAAATGCCATATGATTTCACTTATGTGGAACTTAAGGAGCAAAACAGATGAACATTTGGAAGGGGGATGAAGAGAAGAGAGGGAAACCACTAGAGACTCTTCAAGGATGGAGGGAGGTGAGTAGGGGATGGGCTAGATGAGCAGTGGGTACTAAGGAGGGCACTTGTGATGAGTTCTGAGTGTTCCATGTAAGTGAGGAATCACTGAATTCTACTCCTGAAACCAATATTGAACTCTATGTTGGCTAACTAAAGTTTAAATAATAAAAGAGCTACCATATGCAAGAAACCCGATACGGTTTGTTGAAATTCTAGTCTTCGTAAGTGTTGTCAATTCCTTGAATTTGTTCTTTGTCCCCTTCCCTACCCATTTTGCCTTCTCTCATTTGAATTGAACATTTTATGGGATTCCATTTTATGGGATTTTCTTTTGATGTACTATTTTTTTTTAAACATGTTTAGGGGTTGGTTACTGGTTGCTCTAGGATTTATAGTCTGCATTTCAAAATACCCTTTGGTCCACATTCAAATAACACTGTAAGAGCTTCAAGTGTCTAGCAGCTGTCCCATGTCCTAGTGATAAAGAATTCCCAGTTCCTCCCTATTCTCCCTTAGGACATCTGTCATTTATTTCACTGACATTTCTGTCACTCATTTCCTTGATGTTATTATCACCCAGCACATTACTATTGTTTCTTTAAATAGCTAACTTTTGGATATTGAGAATAAGAAAACAAGTTTTTTAAATATTTATTTTACTTCATTCATTTGTTCCCCTGACCCTCTTTCTTTCTGCAGACCCAAGTTTCTGACTTATGTCCTTTTCCTTATCCATCTTCTAATCTTTCTTATAAGGAAGGACTATTGGCGATGAGTTCTTTCAGTTTTTGTGTTTGAGAAAGTCATTTTTCCTTCATGTTTAAAGGATAATTTCACTGGATATTGGATTATCCGCTAGTTTTTTTTTCTTTTTTTCTCTCCCTGTTTCAACATTCTGAATATTTCATGTCGCGAGTTTCTTGCTTAGATGCTTTCTGATGAAAAGTCTGAACCTCTTCTGACTTGAGTGTTGTTGTTTTGTTTGTTTGTTTTAGTTTCTTGCTGTTTGAATATGATATGCCTAAGTATAGGCTTTATGCTCTTTCCCTTGCTTGGCATTCTCTGAGCTTTCTGGATCTGTGGGTTGGTGTTTGTCATTAAATTTGGAAAATTCTCGGCCATGATTACTTCACATTTTCCTTCTGTCCCATTCTACCCTTCTTCTGGAACTCTGGTTATGTTTATGTCACTCCTCTTTGATATTGTTCTCCATAGTTGTAGGATATTCATTTTGTTTGGGTTTTTAAAATTTTTTTGTTTTTTTTTCTTTGTATTTGAGATTTGGAGATTTGTGTTGACTTTTCTTCAAGTTCATGGATTCTCTCCTCAAAATCATCAGGTCTACTGATGAGCCTGTCAAAAGGCACTGTTCACTTCTGCTAATGTTCTTGATCTCTAGCATTTCCTTGTGAGTCTTGAGAGTTCCCATCTCCTTGTTTACATTACCCATCTGCTCCTGCATCTTTTTAGCTTTTTCCATTAGAGCCCTTAACATGTTAACAATAGTTCTTTAAACTTTTTTTTTTTTTTTTTTTTTAAGCTATAACGTCTCTGTAACCCCTGAATGCTTTTGGGATGCTTCCTTTGTCTTTCCAGACTGTTTTTCTTTTTTGGCATGCTTTGTAATTTTTTGGTTAAAAGCTAGACCTGTTGTATCAGATAAAAAGAACTAAGATATATTTTCCTTTAGTGTGAGGGTTTCCATTAATCTGACTGGAAGTCAGGTTGTGTTTAATGTTCGCTGGAATCATAAAAGTAAGATTTGACTTTAGGCTTCCCTAAGTATTCCTCTTCA